TGAATCCCACATCAGGCTCCCCACAGGGAGCCTGCTTATCCCTCGGTCTGTGTCTCTGCCTCTCTCTCTGTGTCTCTCATGAATAAAAATAAAATATTTAAATAAACAAAAAACTGTAAGAGAATATATTTCTGTTGTTTTCAGCCACCACATTTGTTGGTAATTTGTTATAGTGGCAAGAGAAAACTATGAGAGCACCCACTGCTGTGCACAGGATCCAAGGCCAGGGACATAAGCACACTCATACACACGAGATGTTACGTTTACCTGAGCGTTGACCAGCTGGATGAGCCGGTCAAGGTTCTTGAACCACATGTTGGCATTCTCGTATTGGAAGTCTGAGCCCATGGTCATTATGGTGTGGTTGGTGCGGTAATGCTTGCTCTGCAGGTAAAATGAAGACTTCCTTGGGCCAGGGTGTCCTGTACACTGTGTACAGCTGTGTCTTGGTATACCCGTGGGTGTGGAGCACCTGCGTAGCTCGGTCAGTTAAGCATCTGACTCTTGGTTTTGGCTCAGGTCATGATCTCAGGTCCTGGGATCAAGCCCCACATTGGGCTCCGCAGCCAGCTGGGAGTCGGCTTGAGGATTCTCTCTCTCCCTCTCCCTCTGCCCCCCCTGCTCGTGTGCACTCACTGTCTCTCAAATAAATAAAATCTTTAAAAGATAATAATAAAATAAATAAATAAAATCTTTTAGAAAAAAGTATGGGTACACATAGAGGAGCTGAGGGGGAAGTGAAAGTGGGTCATGTGGGAGCATAGGGACACGGGTGAAAATAGCCACAAGCTGCTGAGTAACTTCTCTTGGGCCCACCACACAGATGAGGGCACTGAGGCACTGTGCCATGTTGTCTCATGACCTTCGTGAGCATCTGGGGCAGCAAAGGTGGTCTGCAATCTTTTAATTAGAAATGCACACAAATCTGGGAGGGGAGCTTGGTGATGGTGAATAGAATGCTACCTTCCTCTGAAGGTCCTGAGGAGGTCTTAAGGAATGCCCGGGCCGTGCAAAGGGCCCAGTGCATTATGAACACCAGTCTCAGGGGCTCTTAACAGTAGGGTTACCTGGGCAGTGGCCAACTGCAGGAAGTAATTGACCAGCTCCTTGGCATTGTACTCAGGACTGCGTGGGTCCTCCACAAAGGGCTTGTCAGCACACAGCGTGTCCCAGCACAGTTTCTCCGGTGGGTTGTACATATTGGGGAGCACACCTGCATGCCACACCAGGCTCAGTGCCCCAGACCTGCCCTGGGGTCAAAACCTCCCATGCCCACCCCCCAGAGAAGAGACCTCAGAATTTGCAGGGACCAGTGCAAAGTGCAAATGCTGGGTCCTTGTTTGTAAATTATTAAGAGTTTCAGGACAATGACAATAGAGTATAAAACCAAACCCAGGGCCCTGTCAGAGAGGTTCCAGGTCCCGTGCCCCTGGGGCCAGCCCTGCCCCCACCCCAGCCCCTTACTGGTAAAGAGGTCGGCCACTGGGGGCTTCAGGCTGGCGCTAGCCCGCCAAACCTGCTCCATTTGTAGCTTCTCCTGCCGCACACTCTTATCTTGATAATCCAGCCGCCCGAAGAAGAAGCCATCAAAGCCCATCTGGAGGTGGGGAGGGATGAGGACTGGGATCAGAGGGCAGGAGAAGGTGTCCAGTCCTCTCACCACAAACCACAGCCCCCTCAGCATGGGAGTGGTGGGTCAGAACACAGGTAGGAAAACCAGGTCTGAAATCAAGAAGTGTTCTAGTTCATTTTGAAACTTGGGTAAGGGTCAGATCACATGGTGGGAGAGCCAGGAGGAGCGGGTCCAACGGGAGAACAGACGTTCACCTTCCCCAGCTCGGAGAGGGGCCTAAGACTTTCCCACTTAAGCACCCTCAGAATGGAAGGGATCGGGGAATGGAAAGGGGACGGGGTCATGGCAAAGATTTTGAAGCCAGGGGAAAATCAGGGTAGGCCTCTACCTGACACCTGGCTTGGAGAGGAGCCAGGATCATAGCAAATGGATTGGGGCCCAGGAGGAGCCAGCTGGAGCGGGTCAGCCTGGGCTGAGGCAGAGCAGAGAGGCTGGGGGATGGGGGGTGGGGGCAGTAAATGGGATTCACAGTTTACCTAAGGGGCAGGGCCTCAAGGGGCCAGGGGGCCAGAGGGCCAGGGGACAGGGCCCCATCCAGGTGAGCTTAAAGGGAAGGGCGGGGCGTGAGTGGCCAAGGGAGGAGTCAGAGCTAATGGAGTAAGGTTGGGAAATCACCTGTGCAAACAGCGAGGCCTGCTCCCGAGAGTGACCGAAGGGGTCAATGTGCCAAGCCACACGGGGGCGCCCATCTTTGCCAAAGGTGTCTTCCAGAAAGCGCAACCCGAGCGTCATCTGGTCTATGATGGCTCCGTAGTGGGTGGCTGCCTCATCGTTCATCACCCAGCCACCATTGGCAAACTCCAGGCGTCCTGTGCCGGGAAGAGCAAAATCTAGGTCCACTGGAAGGGCCAGGACTGGGGCCAGGAGTGGCAATGCAAGGGATAAGAAGACACGCCTGCAAACCTAGGCCTCGAGGGGGGAAGAGGGGTCACTCCCGGGCCAATGTAGCCAGACATGGAACAGAGGGCCCCCTGAGGATCCCCTGGAGGTGGGGCCTTGTAGGATGCATAGGAGTTCTACACATAAAGGGAAATTCCAGGCAGGTGGAGTCACATGCACATAAAGGATGCACAGGACATGATAAAAATCTCAGAAGCTAGAGTGTCAGAAACAGTTGAGCTAGGCTTCCTCTTTTCACTTCCTTAGGACAGGCTCACCCTGGCGCACCAGGTTCCGCACGACTTCCTGTGTTGCATTTGTCTGCTGATGCCACCAACGGGAGAAGAAAGCAATCTCCACATAGATGAATCGGCGGGTGGGCTCCATCAGCAGGGACAAGATGACTGAATCTAGGATGTACTGCACACCTGCATGCTGGACATCATTCTGGACTGTGGGCACAGGGGTTGGTAGTCAGGGACAAACGAGCCAAGGGGCAACGTTCTCAGACACAGGAGTTTAAGCTGGGCAATGTTCCCACCCTAATGTCCAAGACCCAGAAAAGATCTGAAGGGCTCAAAGGGGCCACGGGAGTCCCGGGGGCAAATCCCCATGCTCTACTCACTGCCATAAAAGTACTGGTCCACAGTCTTGAGCCAGCCCACATCATCATGTGTGTGGGCCACCAGGTGCACGTTGAGCATATCCGGTTGTACTACAGGGCATGTCTGCACAGGGACCCCAAATACACCCATCCTGTCAGTTACCCCAAGGTTAAGAGGCAGTTGGGGGTAGGGGTAGGGGTGGGGCTGGGGGCACAAGGTAAATCTAGAGGTGAATGACAGACAAATGGGGCCAGGCCCTTCCAGAGAGGACACACGCAGAGTTGAGCATACAGATACAACTCCCACTTGACACAACCCGTCAGGGCAGCTCTCACTGACACCCTGGGAAAATGGTAATAGTAGTAGCTAATTTTTATTAAGCATTTGCCAATAGCAAGCAGCCACCCTGGGGGAAAGGGGGTTGGGCAATATTATCTCATTTTCGGATGAGAGCACTGAGGATCAGAGAGCAATTAAGTGACTTGCCCCAAGTCATGCAGCCAGGGAGTCAGAATGGAACTCCAGACTGGAACTCCGGGCAGGCTGACTCCAGAGTCCCAACTCTCAAGCAATCCCCGCTCCCCCCGCCCTCACACACACACCTATGTCCAATCACACAGTTCAGTGCATGCAAAGTCCAGGCAAGCCGACGCACAGAAGCACGGAGGCAGGTACAGAGCCCTATTCTCAGATTCACACAGCCAGACCTTTCAACGACGCAAAGCATGCCTTCGGCTCACACTGTCCTAGTACCAACCACTCCCTGGGCGCCGCAGAACAAACCCACCCATGCCTCCGGACCCTACTCGGGGCTTTCCTCCAGCTTGTGGACATTTCCGCTCGCGGGCCGCTCTCACCTCGTATCCCGCGGCCCGAGCGCCGGGCGCCGCCACCAACAACAAAAAGAGGAAGGAGAGAGGCGGGAGCGGTGGCTGCAGCGCGCGGGAGCTCGTCCCGGGCCCTGCCGAGCCCCGGCCGCCACCGCCAGCGCGGACCCCCGAAGGCCCCGCGTCGGCGCCCATGGCTCCGCCGCCGCCGCCACCGCAGCCGCCTCCAGGGGCTTCCCGGGCCAAGGAAAGGCAGGGCAGAGGCCCCGCCCCCAGAGTCCGACCTAGCCAATGGGTGCTGGCGGGGGCGGGGCTAGGACGGCCTGGCGAGTCACGGGACCGAGGCCTCAGCTCCGGCTAGCCCCTGCGGACACTAGGGGTGTAGGGAGGCGTTGGGCGTGTCCCACCATCGGGGGAGCCTTTAGTGTCTCACTGCCTCCGAATGGACTCGGAGTGTCCCTTTGTCCCCGCGGACGCGGAGACTTCAGATTTTCCTACGGGTGTAAGTTTGCTTAGGAGGTGGGAGTGTGTGCGTGGGATCCAAGGTTGTCCCGTTGATCTTCAGGGCTAGGGCTTGGAGGGACCTGGCTTGGCTAGAGGCAGGGGCTGATGGTGGTCCTGTTCTGTCCTGTGAGGATTATGCATAGAGGAACTGTCTCTGGGGTACTGAGAATGGGAAGTGCCCAGCTTGATTGGAAGAAATACCCCTGGGTACTCAGGTGAGGAGTGACACATGGGGGAGGACTCAGCCTTCCAGGCTTTTCCCAACCCCTATTAGTCCATCCAGTTCAGATATTACACGATTAGTCTGATAAGAAAATCAAAGCCCACATTCCTCAGGTTAGCAGAGCTCATCTGCTGAGTTGCCAGAGGACAAGGATCACTGTCCTGTCTCTGGCAGCTGACTTAAGTCACAAGGCTTGTGAAATAAGCAAGTGAACGACCAGAAGGCTCCAGGCTAGAGCCCCACCATAGGCCTGAATGAGTTGGAGGATCTGAAGCTCTTCCCCCACCAGGAAGAGCACCTACAAATGCACAGAAGAGAGAGGTCGCAAAGAACAGCCAGAATGCAAAATTTTATTATTAACTGGTTTAAACAACAACAAAAAAGACGAGTAGATACACGTAGAAACATAGACAGCATCTCCCCCAGCAGCAGGCAGGGTGGGGAAGGCAGGCAGGAGGGGTAGGCCTAAGGTATTCCCCTCTGCCCAGCAGAAGTAGAATCCCAGGGAAAGGGTCAGGTTCCCTCCATCCAGCTGCAAGCCCGGAGACTACCTCATTCAGGGGAGCCCAGGACAGCAGCTGAGGGCAGAGGCTGAGCAGCCAGGGGCCAGGCCTGGGGGAAGGTGTAGAGAGAAGTCCTAGGCTGACATCACCAGGGAGGTGTCATGGGCTGTGGGTTCTGCAGATATGACATGACCACAGCAGAGATAGACAGCCTGAAAAGGGAAAGAGGTGTCAGTCCAGGTAGGCTTGGGTCCCCCTCTCCAACTACTTAGGAGTCCTCCGTCTCTAGGCCTAGACTCACATGAAGCTACTCATCATTTGTTTAGTGTCCTCAGAGCTCCGGGAGTTGGCAAAGCTGATGAAGGAGCAGTAGACGGCCACCCACGCGCACCACTTCAGCTGGGGAAAGGAAGGTGGATGGGGGTATTTGGTCAGTGACAGGCACACTAATGAGCCTCCAGAGGGGTTCCAACCCCAGGCACAGGTTCCAACCCACTGATTCCGCCGGATGCAGCCTGGACCTCATTCCCAAGAATCCCTCAGTTCTATTCCCCGTAGCCTACTCCAGGTACCCAGTTTCTCGTCCTACTCTCTTGGCCTGCGTCTCTGACCCCAGCACATAACCTCAGGCCTAAGACTGGCCTGTGACATAACTTGTGATGCTAAGAACCCCATCCTTTCTCCAGGAGGCCCCTCCAAATTGCTTTAAAACCTGGCCCCGCCTTCAAACTGACCTCTCGGGTACCCACCCCTACCTTCCTTCCCTCCCGCGCTCCGGCTTTCTCCGCCCAGCAGCACCGAAGCCCCGCCCCCGGCCAGGCCCAAGCCCCGCCCCCTAGCGCCGGCCCCCGCTCGGTTCCGAATCCGCTGCCCCCACGGGCTTCGCTGTCAGGCGAAGCGATGCCGGAGGAAACCCGGTGCCGCCCACCTTGAGCATGAGGCCGCACATGCTGAAGATCATGCCGAGCAGGTTCATGTAGTCCGGCGTCGGGTCGTCCAAGGCAGGGTTACACTCGCTCGGCGGGGGCTTGTACCTGCGGCAGGCTCAAGGGTCAGAGGCACTCGAGTCCCGCCCCCGAAATGGACAAGCGCTTCCCTGGGCCTCGCCCCACAGCCCGAGCCCTGTTCCCATGACGTCGGGGTCCTCACCTGAGCACTTTGTTCGGCCTTCGCGGGTCCGACATGTTGTTAGTGGACATGGCAGGTCGGAGGTCGTGCCTCTTCCGCTGCGGGAGTTGCAGCTTCCGGCGCGGAAACGGAGGGTGGCTTTTGGAGTGACACCCTCGGTCTTCGAGCTTCCGTTCCTGGCGGCGGGGCCCAGGACTCCTCCAAGCCGGGGGACAGAATTAGAAGAGACCAAAAATGTTCCTTGAAAACAAGAAGTGGGGAAAGAAACCTGGGAGCTGGAATCAGACTTCGGTATTCCCAATATTATCCCGAAAAAGCCAAACCTTTGAACCGGAAGTGAGAAATAGGAAGTAGACTACGGAAGACAATAAGGTTACATCCTAGCGTGGGTTCCGAGGGTTCGGAAGCTCCGGGGCAAACCAATGTAAGGCGGCGACGAAGGGGTCCCGAAAACGATGGCTTTCCCTGAGCCAAGACCACGGGGCCCGGAGCTGCCGCAAAAACGGGTGAAGACCCTGGACTGCGGGCAGGGGGCAGTGCGAGCTGTAAGATTTAATGGTGAGCTCGCTCTTCATTCCGGGTTCTCCTGCCTTCTGAGGTCCGCAGCCCTCTGATCCCTTCCTGCTGTTCCCCAGTGGATGGCAATTACTGTCTGACGTGCGGCAGCGACAAGACCCTGAAGCTGTGGAATCCGTTGCGAGGGACGCTGCTGAGGACGTACAGTGGCCACGGCTACGAGGTGCTGGACGCGGCCGGGTGAGCCGTTGTGGCGGTGGGTGGGCGGCCAGGCCGCGTGATCCGGTGGAGAGGTCGGGATCTGAGGTCAGCACTGACCTTCCTTCCTCTGCCCTCTAGCTCCTTTGACAACAGTAGTCTCTGCTCCGGCGGCGGGGACAAGGCCGTGGTGCTGTGGGATGTGGCATCGGGGCAGGTCATTCGCAAGTTCCGGGGCCACGCGGGGGTGAGTACAAACAAGAAGAGCCCTCATTAGAGCCTTGATGGCAGAGAAGACCCGCATTATCGTGTAGGTGATGACAAAGACTCCTTCTACCCTGGGGATCCCTGGGTGGCGCAGCGGTTTGGCGCCTGCCTTTGGCCCAGGGCGCGATCCTGGAGACCGGGATCGAATCCCACGTCGGGCTCCCGGTGCATGGAGCCTGCTTCTCCCTCTGCCTCTGTCTCTGCCTCTCTCTCTCTCTCTCTCTCTCTCTACTATCATAAATAAATAAAAATTAAAAAAAAAAAAAAAGACTCCTTCCACCCCCACCTATTACAGAGCGAGGATCCTTTCCCGGTGGCCCAGCATGCAATTTCCCCAAAACCTTTCACCTCCCCTATCTCTCTCTCTCTCTCTTTTTTTTTTTTTTTTATTTGAGAGAGAACATGAGCAAGGGGGAACAACAGAGGTAAAGGGAGAAGCAGGCTCCCCACTGAGCAGGGAGCCCAACAGGGGACTCGATCCCAGAAACCTGAGCCAGGACCCTAGAAAGTGAGCCGAAGGCAGACACTTAACCAACTGAGCCACCCAGGCACCCCTCCTTTGCCCTTGCTTTATTTTTTATTTTTATTTTTTTTAAGTTTTGGCATTTTTATATCCAACGCCCCCACCCACCCACCCCCCAAGCCCTTGCTTTAACTTGCATCAGGAACCCTGCCTTTATCTCAGTTTTCCAAAGTCCAGCTTCCTCTGAGTGGCAATTCCTGTTTCTCAGAAGGTGAACACGGTCCAGTTTAATGAAGAGGCTACGGTCATCCTGTCTGGTGAGTCTGGGGCCTGGGCAGGGTACTGCCCCTGCTGCCCAAACCTGATTTCTACCTCATGCTGGTCCTCACAGGCTCTATTGATTCCAGCATACGATGCTGGGACTGCCGATCTCGGAGGCCTGAGCCGGTGCAGACACTGGACGAAGCCAGGGATGGCATATCCAGTGTGAAAGTGTCAGACCATGAGGTCCTGGCAGGGTGAGTGGAGCCAGGACCTCACCCCTCTGCTGGTGCCCCCGGAGATCACTGCTGCCTCTCTACTCAGATTAAAAGCAACTCTTCTCACCTTAGCTTACAAGGCCCTGCACAGTCTGGTCTCTGCCGATCTTTTAGCTTTTATTTAATCCAGGTCTCGTTTCTCTTAATATACTAATCATGCTCTCATCTCAGGACCTTTGCAATTGCTCTTCCTATACCTGGACTCCCTTTCTACTGAAAGTGTTTTTGAGCATCTCTTGCACACCACTTTTTTAGTCAGTGAACACACAGCAGTGGATAAAATAGGGAAAAATCTCTGCCCACATAGGGTTAATATTCTGGTTGCAAGAGGCAAATAATTAAAATTTCCAAAAAAGGCTGCCCTTTTGCTGCCACAACGCAAAGGAATGCCATTCCCACTAGTTTGGGCTGCCCAGTCTATTGCCTCATCTGTTCCCACACATCTCCTCCTGGACGAGACATGTTTGTCTCCTTATCAAGTCCCAGTTTAGAGGTCACCTCCTTGGGGTGACCTTCGTAGATGACTCTCAGTCAGCAAGGCTCTTTGATGGAAGAAAGTGTTCCTAGCTTTGTTGCAGCTGTGTCCCAAGGACTAGCACAGAGAGGATACTTAGTACATATCAGAAACAGATGGAGTAGGTCCCGATTGGCCCTGGGTATAAGTCTCAAAGCTAGTTCCCTGGAATTCCACTCATGAATTACTACCAATGCTTATTTTCCACGGCTAAGTCTTGAGTGTGAGCCTGACAGTGAAGAGTGCACCTGAAGGGCAAGCCCAGCACCTCCCCACCCTAAGGGTCCTGGCAGGGTCAGGGAGAGTACGGGGAGCCATGGACCTACTGCCCCCAGTTGATGCTTCAGGTGGATCCATCCTCTTGCAGCTCCGTGGACAGCCGGGTGAGGCGCTATGACCTGAGGATGGGGCAGCTCTTCTCAGACTATGTGGGCAGTGAGTATGGCGGGGTTGTGGGGCAGACAGGGCTGGGAGGGGGGCAACAAAGGGGGCCCCAGCCTCACCCACCTGCACTCCTCCCCACCCCTCAGGTCCTATCACTTGTACCTGCTTTAGCCGGGACGGGCAGTGCACCCTGGTGTCCAGCTTGGACTCCACGTTGCGGCTTCTAGACAAGGACACAGGGGAGCTGCTGGGCGAGTGAGTTCTCAGGGTCGTGGGGTCCCTCTCCAACCCCTGCTGAGATCCAAGCCCTCCTAACTCCACCTACCCACAGGTACACGGGCCACAAGAACCAGGAATACAAGCTGGACTGCTGCCTGAGCGAGCGTGACACACACGTGGTCAGCTGCTCCGAGGATGGAAAGGTGTACTTCTGGGACCTGGTAGAGGTGAGCCTCCTCATCCCAACTCCTCACCAGGGTGCCTGCCCTGTCTTTACCTTCACCACTCCCACACCTGCAAAAGGGAATGCTATTAGCACCAGAGGCTTGGAGGAGTGAGTGAGAGGACAAACAGGAAGGGCATGCCTGGCAGAGGGAACAGTGCGTACTAAGGCCTGGAGGTGTGGTACACTTTGGTCAGGAGACAGAAAGACGCTGGGACTGACCCTGGTGGAACAGGGCCAATAGCCACATTGGACCCCAGCTGAGATGGGGCGGCGGTTCAAGAAACCTAAGCTGCCTCTGAGCATCCCCGTGGTTTCTATTCCCAAGTCCTGTGAGCCCTGTCCTAATGTGTCTCAGCCTGGTGGGGATGTCAGGCTGGGAACAGATACTTCTAGCCTAATGGGGTAGGGCCAGGGCTTGGCCAGGGAAAGTAATCCTCCTAAGAGGATGGAGGAATCTGGGGGGGTGGGGGGGTGGCCTTGGAGACCTGAGGGGCCAGCTCTCTCTGGCAACTAAGAACATGCCAGAGTCCTGCATGCTTCTCAAGAGTCTACTAGACTAGAATCTACCCTGGAGGAGAGGGCACATGAAGGGACATTTTGAAGTGGGAAGAGAAATCTGGGGCCTGCTTGTGGGACAGACCATATGTGCTGAGTGGTGACTGCAAGGTGATGAAAGAGGTGAGCACGGAGGCAGCCCAGTGGCCTGTAGAGCCCGGATGGCAGCAGGTGTAGAGAGAAGCTGGGAACAGACACCACAGGATTGGAGCAAGTAGTGGCTTTGAATGTGGAGTCTGGATATGGTCTAAAGGCAGGGCCAGGGGGCACTTACTGATAAAGGGGTAGGAGGTATAAAAGAGGAAGACTCCCAAGATGATTGGCCTGAGCACCAGGGAGGGTGGAACAACTGCGGGGTTCATTTGGGGGCAGATCAAGTTTGTAGTGCCTGGGAAGCAATTAGAGGTGGGTGGCTAAAGGTCAGGGGAGAGACACACTATAACCACCCCCCACCCCTTCACTCCACAGGGTGCCTTGGCACTGGCCCTTCCTGTGGGTCCCGGCGTGGTACAGTCACTGGCCTACCACCCCACGGAGCCCTGCCTGCTGACTGCCATGGGGGGCAGCGTCCATTGCTGGCGGGAGGAGGCTTATGAGGCTGAGGGTGGCACAGGCTGAAGGTGGAGGACCTGTTGTTACCAAGGACACAGACGCAGACTCAGAAGGATGACTGAGACCATTTATTCTAGACACGCAGCTGACCAAGGAGTGAGGGAGGGACCAGGTGTGCAAGCTAATAAATAGAGGAGGGGAGACTTCCTGGAGCTGTAGCCATTCAGTCTTCATTCTTCTCAGGCATGAAGGCATCTCTTTTCTGGGCAAAGGTTTCAGCCACAAGCAGGGGAAAGACCAGGGTGGCATCGGCATAGACCTGCAGAGGGGTCCTGGGTGAACCACAGGATCTGTTGTTACACTCTGGGAGACCGCACCCTGGCCAGTTGACTGGCCCTCACCTTGACCGGCTGTGCATCCACCCGGATCTTGCCCCAAGAGACAGCTTCGTCAGGCCTGGCACCAGAGTCCGAGCCATCAAACTCCTGGGCCGTGTTGATGTAGACATCATAGTCAGCCCCATTCCGCTGTGGGGAGAGGCATGGTGAGCTGGTCAGCCAGTCACTGGAGACAGGAAAGGGGACAGCACTAGCTAGAGAGGCTGGGGGACGTGTCCTGCATGAACAAAGCTCATAGTGGCCCCTCACTCCATAGGAAGGGGGGCCCCACGCCAATGCAAGAGCAGTGCGAGGCTGGGGGTTGGTAGGGTCAATGGGCAAAGCCGCCCCAAAAGCACCAACCATGTAGCAACAACTCTCCCACATCTGCAGGGGCTGCCACCAAATACAAAGAAGACTCACTATCCTGGCCCCATCATTCCTTACCAAGACCTGCCATTTGTTCCCCCTATAGAAGCCAGGGTGCACCTATAAGCACCCAACTGGCAGCCCTAGAGGCCAGGCTCCTGCTGCTAATTGTCTCGGTCCCCTTCACTGGCCTGCTAACTGTCCCTTGATTTAATTCAGGCACCTCAGAGCCTTTGCACTGGCTGTTTTCTGTTTACAGGCTGTCTTTCCCAGAACTTCCCTTTTCTGAACAGCACTCCTTTCTCTTTCTCTTGTCATCCCTCATTTTTTTTCCCACAGCAGCTAACTGCCCCATGACATGCACATCACTTGTTTGCCACTTATCTCCCTGACTAGAACATCAGTCCAGGAGGACAGGGATCCTGGCCTATCTAGTCTACAGTTGTTGCCCTGGTACATGGCGTAGGCTTAGCACAGGTCTGTATGGCAAGCCCGAGTGCCACCCTCACTAGGAACCGGCTACTCTGTTCCCACTCACCATGAGGTTGGCATTGGCGATATGGTGCTTCACCACACCCCCGCCCAGGATGATCATCCCAGTGCGCTTGGCAAAGATGGCCTGTGTGTTGATGAGTCGCAGGTCTGGGAGAAGAGCATTGTGGTCAGGCAGTGGACACAGCCACCCCACCTCCCCTGCTCCTCTGTGGCCCTAGCACCTCACCCTCAACAATGTCCAGGACCAGGCCTGGGTTCTTGTAGGAATGGAAGAAGATCATGTCGCCCAAGGAGCCATCTGTGAGCGCTGGGCTCAACACGGGGATGTGGTTCTAGGGAACAGCAAGATGAGAGCAACGAGCTCAGAGCCCAGCAGAGGCAGACTGGCCCCCATCCCAGTGGCATCCCCTCCTCTCTGCCTGACTCTAGGCAGAATGCTTACTAAATTCTCTAGGCCTTAGCTTCTTCAACTGTAAAATGGAGACTGCAACAGCATCTCCATCACAGATGAAGCATATGTGATGAAACCAGACAAAATCAGTGGAGAATGGTAGCTCTCATTACTCCCACTGCTGGACCTCAGCCTCTGAGGAGTGTGGGACACTCACACTCAGTGATAACAGGATCACTCTCAGTGGCTGTGCAGCCTCAGACAAACATCTGTGTTGGCTTCCTCACCTAAGAGTGGAGATGATGAAATGGTTCTCCAGGTGTCTATGAAGGTGAAACAAGCTAACATGTGCCAAGGCCTGGTACCCTTGCCCTACCTAGTCCCTCACCTTCTGGGCCCAGTAATACACTGATTCTGGGTTGTTGATCTCCTTGCCCAGTCGGGCAATCATCTTGGAAGGTGTCCACTTCACACCCTAGGAGGAGACATTGACTTCAGCCAGCAGGGCCTCCTCAGTTCCACACCGACCCCCAGGGTGCTCCTGCCCCACCTCCGTGTTCTGCTCCAGCACCATTTGGTCCAGGATGGGCATCAACCAGTCCTCAAACTTACAGTAATTGTCATTGGGCACCAGTAGGTTTCCAATCCTGCGGAACATGAGGCATGTGGGCATCGGGCCCCAGGATCCTCAGCCCAGCTCCCTTGCCCAGCATCACTCAGGGCCCCGAACCTGTTGATCCCGTTCTCACGTAGCTCCTTCCCCCTGAGACTGAAATCGCCCAGGTACGTGGGTGCCAGGCACTTGATAAAATCTTCCTCCACACCGCCAGCTGTGGTTACTAAGACGTCCACCTGCAGCCACAAATCAGGTTGCCCAGGAAGAGGGGCCCTGCCCTCATGCCAGGTAGGGCTCCTCATTCCCAACACTAATCCAGTGACCCTTGGGAAAATCTCTACTGCAAAACAAAAGTAGATCCTGTTCCTCCGCTTAAAACAATCCTGTCTCCCTATGTCATTTAAGTGGCCAATAATTTTTATTGCCCATAAGACCTAGAGAGGCCAAGTCCACAACCCCGCCAGGTACCCACCATGTTGTGCTGCACGAGGTAACGGATGGTCTCACGGATGCCTGAACTGATGAGATTGGATGTGTAGCCCAGAAAAATGGTGCAGCCAGTAAGTGGACGGCGGCTCTGGGTCAGGTCTGCATGCTGGTCTTCATCCTGCGACAGCGGCTCTAGTTTCTTCTCTATCTAGGTGTAAGGGCAGAGTCAAGTTACCCTCTGGCCCCAAACTCTAGCCCGAGGGCTCCAAGTGGGTTTCAAGATCAGACTCCAGCCCCGGGGCCTGCCCACTCAGGGATAAGGAACCACTTCTACCTGGAATACCTGAAGCCAAGGAACGAATGCCCCCTGCACAGGCTCGGCCCCATTCACCGCCCAAATCTCAAGGCACGCGCTCAGGTTTTATCCCCCTTTCAAGGAACTGGAGAGCACTACCTCTGCAGGCCTGGTCACTTTCCCCTTTGGAAAAAGCAAATCTGAGCCCAGACCCCGCCCTGACTGAGGCTCCTCCTCAACCGCACCGTTCAGAACACTTCACTCCTTACCTACGATCCGCCTCCTATCTAGCATCAGTCCCAACCTCATCCTGATGGTAGGATGCTATGGAGATGGGGAGGCACAAGGTCCTCTCCCCAGCACGGAAACCGCTGCCCAGAATGGACCCTGCCTCTCTCCACCTATTGGGCCGCCCGACAAAGGACACGCCTCCTTCTCAAGGGAGCCCCGCCCCCCAATGCCGCATTGCCGCTACTGGAGGCCACACCCCCTCAACCCAGGAAGTTCCGCCCCAGGCTTCACCATGGCGTTGACTTGCTGCACTGCGCGCCCGAAGTTGGTGGCCTGGAAGCCAGTGGTGCCGAAGGCCTCCAGGAGCGCACGGTAGTCCACGCCGCGGCTGAAGTCGTAGCCTCGCACTTGGGAGCTCTCGGAGGGCAGCGCCGAGCTATGCTTCAGCACAGCGGCCAGCGCCGCCGCGGGTGCCTTCCCTTCCGGAAGACCCTCCATGCTCCTGCGGCCGCACTCTCAGATCACAGCCGCCCAGACCAGGCCTCCAGCGGCCTCGAAACGCACTAAGCCCCGGCACGCGCTTCTATATGACAGTGCAGGAAGTAGGGCTCTGGAAAACCTGCAGAAGGGGACGGGAAGTTGCTCAGTCACGTGACTCTCTGAGCCCCAGAATCCAGGGCGCGGCCATGTTTGCGCATGCGTTTCCGTAATATGGAAGCCGCGAGGAGCCGTTATTCCCTGTTTCGCGTCTTGTCAGCCCGAGATGAATGAAGAGTCCTGCTTTCACTGCCGCCTGCTGGAGACCCACCGCGTTGCGCGGCGCTTTCCCATTCGTTTCTGTCCCTTTGGGGAAGGAGGATGGCTTCTTAGATGTCGCCCTAGGACAGGATTCGAGTCATCAGGAAATGTCAGATAGTTTCTGGCCCTGAGCGTCTCTCATCAAATGGTGTAGTGATCGCTGTCCGTACCAGAGCCTCCACATACTGCGTAACCCTCTGGTCTTCCCCTGGTAGTTGCAGCCGTCACTTCTGGGAAGCCTTCCCTGACCGTCCTCTGGGTAAGGGACCTCCTCTGGGATCCAGGACTGACCTCTCTTTCCCTCCAGCAAGACTGTGAGACCCTCGAAGGTGAGGTCTGTATCTCACGGGTCCTCCTAGCCCTGCATAGGGTTTGGTCCAGGGGGAATCTTTTAACCAGGCACTTTATAATTTATGGAGTCTATACCATACGTTGGGCTCTGTGTTTGGCGACTCAGATTTATCAGTGAACAAGATGCAGACCCCGCCCTCCTGGAGTCCACAGTTTGATTGGGGAGCTAGTAAAGCTAACCACAATAGTGATTAGTGCTATTGAGGATTCAAACATGATGTGTTTTTGAGGTAGGGGTGGTTGAAGGGGTTGATGGCCTTATTTGCAGGGACAGGTGGTTAGGGAAGGACACCAAGGAGGTGACATTTGAGCCAAGGCCAGAAAGCCAAGAAAGGCCCCATATGTGCAGATTTGGGGAGGCCTTTCCCCCACCATCCCCCAATGGGAAAGAGAACTGCCAGTGCAAAAGTCCTGAGGTCAGAGATTAGCCCACTTAACTGGAGGAAGAGAACATCCTCCCTGACTTTTGACAGTCCCCACTTGGATCTCAAACTCACCATCTCAGCTCCCACTCCACTTAACGCTGATCTCCCTGAAGTCTTCCACATCTCATCAAAAAGCCCTCAACAAATAAGCCCTCCATGGACCTAGTAGGCCCAACACTGGAGAACTGAGCTTGACGTCTCCCCTTTGTTCTCACCCATCCCTCAGCACCTCCGACAAGTTCTGCCCACAAAATAGGTCCCAATTCCAGGTGTCTTTTTATTATTATTATTGAGATAAAATTAACATATTCTATTAGTTTTAGATGTACAACATTCTGTTTGGGTATTTGTATCCAGATGCTTCTCTCCATTCTCTCAGCCTCCACGCTGGGCTACCTTCCCTCCAATCCATCCCCCAGCTGTGGCCAGAGAGCTCATTAAACAGAAGCCAGATACATCATTCCTTTTAAAACTCTCTTATGGTGGCTTCTCCCTAGGAGTAAAACCTAAGGTCTTCTCCCTGGCCTGTGAAGATGCCTGCTCAATTCCCTCCATTCCCTCATCCCTCTCCACTGGCCCTCACTTCCTCCTCTCCAGCCACACTGGCCTCCTCGCTGTCCTAGAACCCGCCAAGCTCATCTCCTGACCAAGGGATGATGCACCTGCCACTCCCTCTGCCTGGAAACCCTCTTCTCCAGCTCCTTGTCCTCTGAGCCTCTGTCTAAATACTACCTCATCCAAGAGGCCTGCTCCAACCACCTGTTTCCATCCTTACCTTGCTTGTCATTGTCTTTTTTTTTTAAGATTTTATTTATTTATTCATGAGACACAGAGAGAGAGAGAGAGACAGAGACACAGGCAGAGGGAGAAGCAGACTCTATGCAGGGAGTCTGATGTGGGACTGGATCCCGGGTCTCCAGGATCATGCCCTGGGCCAAAGGCAGGCTCTAAACCGCTGAGCCACGCAGGCATCCCTTGTCATTGTCTTTCAAAGCACTTGATACATTTCGTTTGCTTTTGCGTGTCCCTCCCTGATTAGAAGGGCAGCTCCTTGTGGGCAGGATTGTCTGGTTTCACTGCTGTTTCTCTTACTCTATGCAGTGGCAAGCACATACTGTGATCTCAGCACATATGCTGAACAAATGAATGAGCCCACACGAGGGCATGAGGGTGATCCATGAGGAATGAAGGAAGGAAAGAGGTTGATCAATGAATTCGGGGGTGCCTGGCTGGCCCAGTCAGTGAAGCATGTGATTCTTGATCTCGAGGTTGTGACTTCAAGCCCCACATTGGGTGTAGAGGTGACTTAAAAATAAAACCTGTAAAAACAAAAAAGTGAATTCAGAGCAGATAGAAGGTCCTAGAGCAGAGTGCCCTCGGCTGTAGTAAGGAAAATGGCTTATTCTAAGAGGCTGGGAAACCATTGGAGAGTCTTAAAAAGGACTGAGACACTCCGATTTTTTTTCCAATTTTTAAAACTTGTCATTTTTTATTTTTTTAAAATAAAAAATATTTAAAATTAATTTTATTTACATACACATATATACACAATATGTATGTGTATGTGTATTTATATTTATATAAAACATAAAACTTATAACCATTTTATTGTTTTAAAGATTTTATTTATTTATTCATGAGAGAGAGAGAGAGACACACACACAGGGAGGGAGAGGAGAGGAGAGAGAGAAGCAGGCTCCATGCAGGGACCCTGACGTGGGACTTGATCCCAGGCCTCCAGGATCAGGCCCTGGGCCGAAGGTGGCACTAAACCACTGAGCCACCCAGGCTGCCCCATCATTATTTTAAAGTGTACAGTTCTATGGCATTAAGCACACTCATGTTGTTGTACAAACGTTACCACCATCCATCTCTGAAGTGTTTTCATCATCCCAAACTGAAACTGTCCCCATTAAACACTAAATCTCCCTCCCCTCCCTCTCCTAGTGCTGACCACCCCACCATCTACTTTCTGTCTCTCAATTTGACTCCTCTAGGGACTGCACATAGGATCGTAGGTTATTGGTCATTTTGTGGCTGGCTTGTTGTACTTAATATATGACCTCAAGGTTTATCCATGTTGTAAAGTGATTTCTTTTTTACCAGACCCCACTGGCTGCCTTGAGAATGGAGACAGTTGGGAAGGGCAGAGCAGGGGAGACGAGGGCAGAGGCGACTGCACTGGTCCCGGCCACAGAGGTGGGAGCAGGACCTAGGACATGCCAACAGACATGAAGTGACCAGACTGAGAACCTAATTTGAAGTCGATCTGATGGGTCCTGAGAAAGAATCAGACGTTGGGACCCCAGAAAGGGAGGATTGAAGGAGTTCAAGATTTGGGCCTCAGGGCATTTGAGTGGATGGTGATGAATTTGGGGGCGGGGCTGGAAGGGGTAGATAGTCCTGAGTTCAGCTGAGCTACCAGCAAACACCTGAGACACCAGGATGACAGACTGAGCAGGCAGGAAGTTCTTTGGGTGGATCTGAAATCGGGGAAGGTACTGGGATGGGGACAGAGGAAACCATCAGCATAAGCAAGTGGACAGAGTTATCTGTGGATAAGTGTAGATGGAGTGGAGAGGCAGGGCTGCACCTGAGCCAGGGTATACTCTGTATTGGCGGGGGTGGGGGGGCGCAGAGGCTGCCAAAAGGCTTATTGGGGCCCATTAGTTGAGGTTTAACCAGGGCAGTAAGAGGCTGGGGCCCCCTCCACTCCCCCAGCCAAGGTGACATGTGACACCAGGGCAGCCACTGGGCCCCCTGGGGCAGGGACCCCCTCAGCTGAGGCAGCTGCTGCTGCTGGTGACATTTCACTCCATGAGTGTCCTGGCTTCAAAGTCTCTGCGGGGGGAGGGGAGGAGGGAGCAGGAGAGGCCAGGCTGGCAGGGGAGGGAGCCAGAGCCGGGCTGCTGAAGGACTGAGCAGTCAGGAATCAGCCGGAGTCCTTAGCTGAAGTATGTGGTCCTGATGGGTTGGGGAACCACCACCCCTTTCCCACAGTCCCTGGGGGACACAGGAGGCAGTTAAGGGACTCTCAGTTAGCTGTATGGCTCAGGGTCTGGAATTGAACCTCATGCCTCTGACCCTGCTCACTCTCCCCACAGATGTCCAGCAAGGTGGCCATTGGCAGCGACATCGGGCAGGCCCGCCGGGCTGTGGAGCAGCTGCGGATGGAGGCAGGCATTGACCGCGTGAAGGTGAGGGCCAGGGTGGCATGGGCAGGTCCGGGTGAGGGGGCAGGTGGACAGCCCAGGCCCGACTGACCAGGCTGGCCTGCAGGTGTCCAAGGCGGCTGCCGACCTGCTGCAGTTCTGCACGGAGCAGGCCAAGAGTGACCCCTTCCTTGTGGGCATCCCAGCTGCCACCAACCCCTTCAAGGAGAAGAAGCCCTGCACCATCCTGTGACCTTCATGGCCCTGACTACCCAGACGGCCTCAATAAAAATGAAGTGAATGATCCTCAGGACGTGGCTTAGGCAGGCTTCAGTGGGGGCAGAGGGGGCCTGCAGACCCACGGGGGCCACCTGCATGCCTGGCACAGCCTCCCTTCCCCGCCTACCTTAGGGTTGTGGCCCCAGCAGCACACACATCCTGGCCCCCCCGGAGGGAAGAGCATGCACCTTCCCCACCCCTCTTCCTCCCACACCAATGGGGTAGGTTAGTAGATCCCCTGGCCCACTGCACAAACACAGCTAGGGTCAGAGTCCCAGTCTACTCTAGGGTAGAGTTCCGCCACACATCACACACCCCTCCATGTCACATGCAGGTGCCATTGTACAAATGTGCACACATCCTCAAGAGTCTCCTGCTTCCTCACACACACCCCCATCTACCAGCACACAGGGTTACTGTAACACACAGCCACATCCCCTCCCCAGTGAGACACACACGTGACCATGATAGCAGAAAGGCCCTCGAACAGGTACATTACACCTGGATGAAACAGCAGCTGCCACCGAGGTTTTTTTTTTTTCCACCAAGGTTTTTATGACTGTCCCATGGACACACGCCCCGCACATCCCAGTCCCAAGCAAGCACAGGCGGAGTCCTCAGGTGACAGCAGTACATCAGGTTTATTTCTCCTTCGCTCTCAAGGGAAAGCAGGTATCCAAACCTTAACAAAAACAGGGCCCAGGGGAGGGAGCCGTACCCTGGGTGGGCCTGAACAACCTCACCTTCCCTGGCGTGGGGCACAGTCCAAGGACCCTGCCTCACCATGGCCCGGACCCCATGTGCCTCAGGGCTTTGGGAGAAGGCAGAGACAGCACCAGCACAGGGGAAGGTCCCCCGAGAACAGAGGCCGCGGCCCAGCCTGTGGGCCGGCAGATCCACCGCCACCTCCACGTCTGGCAGCTCAGGCCTGCAGCCTCCAGACCTCCAGCGATAGGCCCCCGGAGGCAGCCACCACCAGGTTGCCCTCAGCGCAGATCTGGGAGGGCAGGGACATAGGTAGTCAGGGGCGTTCTGGGCAGCCAGGCGGGGGGCATAGGGCAGGGTCTTACCCCATTCAGCACATTGTTGTGGCTTCGCATGCAGATGGTCCTTGGTGGATCCGTGGGCACGTGCACCTGGCAAGGGCCAACAGGCAAAGGTCACGAGTGTACCTCAGCTGCCAGGGGTAGGGTAGGGTAGGGAGGCGCCTGTCTTAGGGGCCTCACCCGGATGGTCTTGTCAGTGGACGTGGTGTACAAGGCCCCCAGTGAGTGTTTGATCCCTGTGATCTGAGACCTGTGGCCCACGTCAAAAGACTGCAGAAAGGAGGGACAGGTGACACTCAGGTAAGGGCTTTCCCACGGTCAGCCCACCCAGGGGTCACGAGGTAGGGAGGAGGCCCGGGGATGGTCGGGCACGGGCAGGAACCCTGGCAGACCCGGACAAGCTGGAAGCGGCCACTGTGGTTGGCGAAGACGTGCAGCAGGCCCTGGTTGTCACCAGCCCAGAGCTGGGGCTCCCGGTAGGACATGCAGAGCAGGTAGGAGTCCAGCTGTGGGAGGGATGCGGGACAGAGCAGCTGAGGCCAGGCCCAGCCCCAGCCTGGTCCCTCTGGGCCCCAGGGGAGGGCCCACCTGCAGTCGCTGCAGGACACTGTTGGCTCGGCGGTCAAACACCACGAGCGTGTGGTCCTCGCTGCCCGAGATGATGTGCCGGTCGTCCGCCAGCAGCGCCAGCACCGCACTTGAGTGCAGCCGCCTGCTCTTCAGCAGGGCCGGGCCGACTTCGCGAGTGAGGCGGGGAGGAGGGAGACATCAGAGCCCCTCAGAGGCCGCCCGGCCTCCACTGGGCCCCCGGGCCCCTATCCCACCTGGCACGACCCTTGGTCTGCTCTGCCCGCCCACGTCCCTTCCCGCATGTGATCCTGTCTCTCTCCTCTCCTGTCCCTGCAGGGGGTGGGCCGCCCAGGACCCCCAGCCCTCAGCACCCTCTCCCGCCTGCCATCCCAACCCCATCTGCTCTCAGTACAGTGCAGGCCTCAGCAGGTCCCAGCATAAAATGCTTCCGCCTGCAGGCGGGTCTGAGACAAGCCTCCACCATGACCCCCACCCACTCTGGCTCCACCTGGGTGAAGACCCCCAGCCCTTCAATTACAGTACAAATGGATAAAGAAGTAACAGGAAAGGCATGTATGCTGGGCACTGTTTATCCTAGGCTTCTTATGTAAGCTAACGTTTAATCCACTGAGGTTCTTTCTGTCATCTCCTATTAACCCTACGGGACCAGAGTTATTATCCAGATTTTACAGATGGGGAAACTGAGGTTCAAGCTTGACAGGAAGTGGAGAATCAAGGTTCTTAGGGGCTGCTCCACCTCCCACAGTATTGAGACTCAGAGGTCCCTCCTCTGGGAGCCCTCCCATCCCTTGCAACACCCAGGTGGAGGGGGCTGCCTCTGCCTCAACACCCATTCCCCACCAGCTGTTTTTGTTGCCCCAGCACAGGCCACTTGGAGTGGTCAGGAACTATTATGACTGTCACCCCAGCCAGGCAGGAATGAGGTCCAAGTGTCCCCTTCCCCGGCATGACCCTGGAGACCCCAGGCAGCCCTCCTCTCCCCACCTAGGCTCCAGGGCCCCCAGCCCACCTCTGGGGTCGTAGACGGTCACCTTCTTGTCATAGGTGCCAGTCACCAGGATGTCAGGCCGGTAGGACAAGCACAGCACAGCTGCCTTGCCCCTGGGAACACAAGGAGCACAAAGCTCAGGCTGTTAGTAGGCAGGACCCAGCCCTGCCCTGCCTCCCTGCCCAGGACCCCACACACTTTATCTCGCCGAACTGCTGCCCATCTGCTGCCATGTCCCAGAGCTTCACCGTGCTGTCCCAGGAACCAGAGCACACGCGGTGGTCCAGCGCTGCCAGCGACCACACCCAGCCCTGCAGACCGGACCCATGTCATCATCCCTCATTTCAGAGGTAACAAAATTGAGGGTCAGAGGAGGGAGACAACTGACCCAAGAACCCAGAGCAAGTCAGCTCCAAGTAGAGGTTAGGACTTAGGTCTATGGGTCTGTCTGACTTCAGAGTGCAGGACGTGCACATCCACACAGAATAATATTCCTATGTCAGGTCCCTGCGAGGCTCAGCACCAGTGGTGGTCTGAGTCCACCTAACAGTGTGATTACGGATGGGTCCTCCCCTCCATGACCTGGGCAAGGGAAGTGCCCTTCCTCAGGTTCATTGGGAAAATGGGCACAAAAAACAGCCCCTGCCTCAGGAGCTAATAGGCACAAAGCACTGGCTGATGACTAACTTATTCCTCCCCAGACTCTGTGGAGAGAGTACTGTAATGAGGACAGTGGAGCACAGAGAGGTTGAGTCCCTTGCCCAAGGTCACACAGCCAGGGAGTAGCAGAGTGGGGATCTGAACCCAGTGGCCTAGCTCTGAGACCAAGCTCTTGGCCACCGACCTAGACCACCTCAATGATTGGCGGTGGTGGTGGTGTTCCTCCATGGCCACTTCTCATGAGATGACAGCTATGCTCAGAGCTTTGTGATCCCCACGGCAGGCAGCCTCACCATTGCCCTGCCCTGTGCCTCTCAAGGTACACCTGACATCTGCAGCGTGCCTACTGTGTACTCCAGCCTAAGGGAAGCTCTCAGGGCATATTCATCTCATTCGTCCTCCTCCTAACTGACCCCTAGACAGAGAAATAGGGGCCCACAAAAGTCCTACATCTCACCCGATGCCACACTAACAATGGCAGAGCAGGGTTTAATGCCATTACATCTGATGCCAAAACCCATGCCCTTAATCATGGCATCCTCCCCAGGCCTCACCCCCTCCTGCCCTCACCTGGCCCCCTAAGCCCTCACCTTGTGGGTGCTGTTCTTCTCAGTTCCCAGGGCCTTGACTAGAACCTGGCTGGGCTCTACCCCCAACTGCCGCATGTCCCACAGGTTGACATTGCGATCCCGGGAGCCCGACAAACAAAGCGCACCACCCTGAGAAGAGAGGTAGTATTGTCAGAGTCACCCAGGCCCCCCCTGCCTGCTCCCCCTGCCGATCCCCCACCTCACCTGGAGCAGCAGGACCGAGTCAATGGAAGCAAAGTGCCCATCAGCCAAGCAGAAGTACTCAGTCCAGCGCCCATCCTCTGCCCAGCGCGACAGGTGTTGCTCCAACTCAATGCAGGCTGTTGGCCAGTCAAAGTCCTCCTCTGTGGGGCATCAGGAGTGGGGTCCCCAGTGGGCAGGAATCCTGACATCGACGCCAGCTGTCCAAGCCCACCCTTGGCTTCCAGGAAGCCCAGCCTTCCCCAGACTTGGAGAAAACCTCACCTGGATCCCTCACCCCACCCAAGAAGGCCCAGGATCTAGCTTTGGGACCACCAGCCACCCACTTTCAAGGAGGTCTAGGACTACTCACCCCAGTTTCCAAAGGTTGGGTAACTGGAGCCTCGGGATCACCTTTGCAGGCCTCAAACCCCAACGCAAATGTGGAGGATAATAGCCTCAGGGTGTTAAGGTCCAGCCTCAACCCTCAGGCTAGACATCAGAACTAGGACGTTTTGCCTCCGTAATCTTAACCAAACCCAGGGAAGTGTTCTCAAATTAGTATCTGTAAACCTGGGAGCCTTGTCAAGATGTAGAACTCAAGCCCTAGGTGCAGAGATTCAGTGGTATAATGGGGCTCAAGCAACTGTTTGTCATGCTGTTCAGGACAGCCCCATCAATTCAAGGTCACCAAGCTGTCTTATTCCCCAGGGATCTGACCTCAGGGAGAGGAGAAATTACCACCAGCTTCTAGACTAGGCTACACCCTGGGCTAGGGTGTGATTGCTGGTGCCAGGGATCCAAACCTCTAAATTGCAGGTTTGGATCAAAGGTTGGAGGCTCGAGCCTTTGGCCCATGCTTCACCCCTACCTAGGTCAAGACTGTAAGGATGAGGAGCTTTGGCATCACCAGGTTCTAGTTCAGCATCTATACCCAGAGGATTCTTGGCCTTATTCTGAGCCCCAAGAGAGTCCAACAGCTGAGACTTCAAGTCCCTGTGTCAACCCCCAGCCAGCAGTGAGGGCCCTGGTACCACCAGACCCCAATCCTGAGCATCACTGGATCCTGAGTTCAGGGACCCCAGCCCTCCAGGGTGGATTTCCACAGACCCAGGACCCCAAGCGTCTGGCTCATGGTGCACCCAGAGGTCAGGGGCTTTGTCGCCATCGATGACTACCTCAGCGTCCACCCAAGCCAGGACAACCAGGAAGCCTGCTCCAGGCTGTGCTCACAGCACCCCAGCCTAACCTGGGCAGCCGACCCCGGCCCCCAGGCGCGCGCACCTTCCACAACTGGGTAGGGCGCGCGTACGCGGCGCTGCGCGCGTAGCCTCCAGGTGACATGGTCACGCACGAGGTCGCGCAGCGCGTGGCACACGCGCGGGAGGACGTGAAGCACCAGGCGCGCGTCTAGGTAGGCGCAGATCTCGAGCAGCAGCTCCGGAGGAAGGCTGAGCAGTCCCGGGACCCCCACGGGCGGACCCTTGGACGCCGCCCGCGGCTCCAGGGCGCCAGGGGACGCGACTGGCGCGGACAGCAAAGGGGCGCGCAGGGGCGCCTGCCCCGCTTTCGGCGGACTAAGCACGCGGGCCACGTAAGCCTCGGCCTGCGCGTCGGGGTCGGGGTCCGGCTCCGGCTCCGAGTCATCGTCCCAGGCGCGGGGATCGTCTCGTGGCCCAGGGGGCAGCTCCATGGCGACCGGGTGGGCGCGGCCGGCCGGGCAGCGTCAGCCGAGGGCCCCGCGTCCCGTCTCCAAGGCAGCGCGAAGGCACTTCCGGCGCCGCGTGATGACGCGGTGGCGCCGGCCGGAAGCGAGCGGCACGCGGGGAAACCGGCCGGACCCTGGAATCCCGCAGTGTTGAGGCTTCCCGCGGTGCAGCTACGGCGGCCCTGGGCTGGAAAACGCAGATTCCTGCTTCCAGCGCCTGTTAAAGCAGGAGTCCGTGCCGGGGCCGATGCGGAGGACGGCTGGCTGCGGCGCGCCGCTGGCCAAGGCACTCTCGGCGCCGCTGAGCTTAGAGATGCCGCCCCCGAGCTCGCCGCCCGGGCCCTACGCGGATTCCAGCTCCTCTGCTTCCGGAGCCGGAAACGTGCAGCTGGAGCGCAGAGGCCTCAAGTGCTCTTACCTAAAATCGCATTTATCCCTTATTTCCTGAAGCCTCTTTTTGAGCCAGGCCGTGTTAACCGATCCATATAAACGCCCGAGCGCTGGCTGTGCGGCCTCGCCCCGGACATCCTCGTGGCTCCTTGCTCGGGTCCCTCCGCCGAGACCTCACAGTACCCTCCTGTAAAGCCGACCGTTGTCCCAGCGTTCGCTCTCCCCTCCGCGCCGGCTTTTTCTCTGTGGGACGTATCGCTGTTTCGCTCATTATCTCCTGTTCTCTAAAATGCACTCGTTTGTTGAAGGGAAGCTGGGTACACGTGTCAGCTTTTTGTCTTCCCAAGTCGAGGCAGGTGACCTTCAGCCATGTTGAGGTCGCAACAAGGTTTTATTCTGAGGCTGTGTGTCCCCAAGAACTTAGCAATTTCTCATTTGCTTCACCCTTCCTTATTGCACCTCCCACAGGCCAGTGCTCAGCTGAGCTTTCTCGAAAATGTCTAACCTGCCCAGGGACCCAGAGTTTTTAGGTTAGTCAAAGATGAGAGTGCTGCAAGGCTTTGCCCCTTAGTTTAGTCTAAGGCAGATGGGATCTTGAGCCTGGGCTGTAACACTAATGGCTCCCTTTTAAATTGACCTTGATGTTCAAGGAGCTGTAATTAGGTTCAGGGGGACACCGGACACGTGTATATTATCACATTTAATCTTTTGTCATTCACATTAACCTTCCCATTTTACTGGGAAGAAAAATGAGGCTTGGGGTCCCAAGAAATGTGCCTGGTTAATGCTTACTTCCCTGCTCCCAGAATTGAGTCCTGTGCACCCCCATTTCTAAGGCGTCCCAGCCCCCTCCCCCCAACACACAATCTTTTTTCTCTACTGCCAAAGCCAAGGATACAGGAAGCCAGATGGAGACCAAGGGTTTCACAAGAAACTGATCTTTACTCAACAAAGTTCTACACAAGTGGAATCTCACGCCACCTCGGCGCCAATCCCCAGCACAGCACAGTAACAAATGGACAGACCCTGGAGCCCATAGGAGGAAGAGGGGGAGGGGGAGAGAGGAATGTGGGACAAAGAGGGACTGCAGATCCAGGCCAGTCAGGGTCTGCAGCCCTGGGCAGGGGGGAAGGGTTGAGAAGCTGAAACTTCGTTGTGCAAAAATCAACCAAAAATAAATTAAAAAATTAAATAGTTTTCTTTAAAAAAAAAAAAAAAAGAAGAAGAAGAAAAGAAAAAACTAGAACCAGGCTCCCCTTCCCTGAAGGTGGCTGGAGCCCCCCATCCTGGGTGGAGAAGGGGTTACAAATCCCATCAGACACCCAATCCATCCACACACCCCAAGACCCAGCAGAGGATGCTCCAAAGAACTGGATTACCAGAAAATTAAATGGTACCTAATTTTTTTTTTTTCTTTTCTAACAAATGGCTTCCAGAGACCTGCTGGAGTTTCACAGGGTAGGGAAGCCAGCCGAGTTTATGGAATGTGCACCAAGTGTCCCTTGGAATAGAGGCAGGGCTTGACCCTGTCTGGGGAAGACACAGGGCTATGATGGGGTTGGGTTCAGGACCCTGCAGGGATGAATGGAACAAGCCCCAGGATGTAGGAATCCAGTCAAAGCCATGGGGATTTATGGAAATCCCCCAAAAGGGCCCCCAGAAAAGTAAAAGTAGAGAAGGGGGAAAAAAGGGAAACATTAAGGGGGCTACAGGGCCGGATTCAGTTTTGAGGCCAACTGGGAAATAACCACGCCCCCCCTCTAGGGGTGCCTCCCACACTGTGACTGTATCCCCAACCAATCCCAGAAGGTTCCCTAGAACACTGCCCCTATCTGGTGGGGCCTTGTAGCTCACTGGGAGCAGTGATGAACAGGAAGCCCCAGGGACAGAGTGGGGTCAGGGAGCGTTACCAACTTCTCCAAAGCACTTGATTTCCTTCTTGCTGGCAAAGCAGCAGCTTTCATCCTCTGTGCCCCGTCAATTAAATGCCCCGGCCCCAGCCCTCAAGTTAAAATTCAGGCTGGAACCTGAGAGGAGAGCTCTCAGCAGCACAGAGAAACAGACTGCCCTTGAAACAGACTTGCTTATGAAGAGATGCAGGGGGGTAGGGGGTCAGCAGCTCTGGCTGCCCCCAGCTCTCTTCAGGAAAAAGACCCTGGCCCAGTGTCTTCAAAAGTCACTGGAGCACAGTTGGGGTGGGGGTGAAGAATGGGCAACCTCTGGCCAGATCCAGCCACTCTGGCAGTCCCCACTCTTTTGGCTGGGACAGAGCAAGGAGGGGGACACACAGGCTGTGGCTGCCACAGAGCTGGCAGGAAGTGTGCGGAGCAGGTCCGAAGCGTGCGCGTGCTGACTCGGGCGGCCCGGAGATAGCCGTCCTCTTCCCCCGCCCCAGGGTCCCGGCGGAGGCCCCCAACCCACCCAGCCCTCCCCAATCACCAATTCCGGCAAAACAGCAGAAGCTTCTTAAACTCTAGATGCAGGTTACACGGAAGGCCTTACGGGTTAACTCAGGGGTTCACTAATTCTACTGTCTCCATGCAGTCGGGGAAATGGTGGGGCGGCTGGCCCAGCCTGGCTGGCTGCAGCGCCGCACATGCGTGTGTCCACGTGTGTACATGTGAGTGTACGTGTCTCTACAAGGACCCCCCTCCCCGCCTGCTTTCCCCTTGCCTCACCCTAAGCCGGATTCGGTCGGCCGTGTTGAATCTTCCCTCCCACGAGGCTGGCCCAAGTGGGCTGCCTGAGGTGACCCCGACTGAGAGCAAAGGGCCCTTGCTGCCAAGAAGTCCCACCCCCCCTCCCCTGTTTGTAGGATGAGTGTGGAGACCCCACCCACCTGCCCGCTGGCCGGCAGACCACACACACCCATGGCAGGTAGGTGGACGGGGAAGGCGTCTGGATTTGGGTCCCGCTCACTCCTCCCTAACCCCCCTCGACCAGGGCACGGCGACTTCTGGACGCAGCGCGCTCCCCAGCAACCCCTCCAACGACGCAGACAGAAACCTGCGGGGAAAGGCAGGGGTCAGGGCCTGTACCCCTCCCCAACCCGCCCAAAATCAATGGCCCCCCTTGCATGCAGCCTCCTCACCTGACAGTCGTGATGCTCATCTAGACCCCATAGAAGGCAGCCAGCCTCTCCTTGAGCAGAGGCGGGAACTGCTCTGAGAACTGCTGCCAGTTCTCCTCCCCAACTTGGTCTTTGAAGCCGTGGAGAATCTGTGATGAGGCAGGGGGTGAAGGGCGGCCCCGGGGCAGAGCCATCAAGTGCAGCCTCTCTCCCCAGAGGCCCACCCCCACCCTGCTGCTTCCTAGGACAACATCTGCATCAGGCAGGAGCTCACCTTATAAAACATGTCCCGAAGGTCATCCTTCGGGCTCACCCAGGAGGCTACAGCGTCGCAGAAGAAAATAAAGTCCTGAAACATGACAGGGCCTGTGTGAGGGGCTGCACAAGCCCAGCCCCCGCGCCTTACCCAGCGCCTTCCCTCCAAGCCCAGCTGCCCCAACCTGCACAACGCCCCCGGGGTTGACGCCTATCATCATGCAGATGCCTCGGAAGGCTGAATCCTTCTCCTCGTTGTCCCTGATATTCCTGAGGGACGTGCACCTGTGGGGGAGGTGAGCGGCAGGCAGTCAGCTGGCGGGGCTGGGGCAGGATGGGCATCTGTGGGGGGCAGTGGGGAGCAGCAGGTCAGCGGGCAGCGGGGCTGGGGTGGGGCATGTACCTATGTGGGGGGGAGAGAGCGGGGAGTGGGGCAGTGTTCAGCAGGTGACAAGCTGGGACATGCATCTAGGGGTGGACACAGGCAAGGAATGGGTCGGGCCTGCCCCACCCCCGCAGCTGCCCAGCCCACCATATGCAGGCCCCACACAGGGGAGCACACACCAAGGCCGGATGAACTGCTGCAGCATGGGGGCCACCTCCTGGGGGCACACATAGCCCAGGCGGCCGATGGTGATGGCTGGAATGGCAGAGGGACTCGTCAGGCGACCTGCAACCCCGAGCGGCCCCGGGACGGTACGTGGCGGGGCCTCTGGCATGAGGCACCAGCCCCGCCCCGTGGGCCCCAAGGGAATAGGCCCTACCAGGGACTCCCCTGAGGCCAGCAGCTTCCCTGGTGCTCTTCCCAGACACCTTCCCTTGTTCTTTCCCGAGGTCTCTTCACCACCTCTCCCAGATGGGAACCCCAATTCCAGGTAAGGGGACAGCAGCTGCTCAGGCCTGGTGCCCACCTGTGTTTTCCAGCAGCGTCTTGGGTGTGTTGGGCCGGTTGATGATCTCCACCAGGTTGTTGAGGACCATCTGCACGTAGGGCTGCATCTCTGCCCCTGGGGGACCAGTTAGTTAGAGCCCCGCAGGGCCCATACCATCCATGCTGACCCCAGCTGCACCCAGACACTGGCCAACTGAAACCAGTGAGGGAACAAAACCCATTCTCCGGCTGGTGCCCAGCTCTGGACCCATGGCCAACCAGGGACAGGCCCACACCTTCCAGACACCAGAAGCTTCCTTGGAGTCACTGCTCAACAGCAGGGTTAGACCACATTACCCAGATTCCATGGGGGGGGGCGGGGTAGGTGGGGAGGGAGGCGGTTAAATTCTCCCAACCAATCCCAGCGGACCTTTCAGCCAAGTGCATGGCAGGGAGGGGAGTAGGTCAGGAACAATCCAATCTGAACAGGCCTCCTGATTCCACCTCTTTAGAAACCCCTATCCTTGATGCCTTTTCCAGGCATTTGGCAGCATCCCCGCGAAAGTATTCAGAAATGGCTTCTTTGCATCACCAACTGCTGCAATCCTCAAGCAGCACCAGGGCTCTCTTAATGGGACTGGTCAGGCACAGCCAGGGTCTTGCCCCCAGGAAGGAACAGGCGGGGGGCGGGAGGGGGGGGGTGTAGGGCCTGTCAGCTTGCAGGGCACTCACCCATCTGCATGCAGATCTCGCCGATGGCCCAGGTGGCATTGTTGCAAACAGAGATGAACTCAGGGTTCAGGTTGGTGCCCAGGATGGGCATAAACTCGGCTGGTGGGGAGAAAAAGGGAGTGCTGAGCAGGAGGGCAAGCCAGGGTGAGCTCCTGGACCTGGCCGGGCAGACCCCATCAGACAGTACGAATACAATCCAGTTTGGTCATTATCCTCCCAAAGTCATCTTTTTCCATCATTTGAGGCCAGAGCTGGGGTCGCGGGGTGGGGAGAAGATGGGTGCCGTACCGATACAGGGCTTGACGTGGATGAAGCAGGCTTTGGTGAGATCTCCCAGGAGGGCAAAGGAGCTCTGCCGAACCTCTGGCATGGAGTCCTGAGGGGTCAGAGCAGGGTCAGTGTGGCAAGGCTCCCCGCCCCCCAACCAGCTGGGATCCTGAGTAATCCCTCAGGCAGGGCAGCTAGGGGTGCAGGCCCTGGAGCACGGCCTGACCCTGGCACACTACCTGTCATGGGGCCCATTTGTAAACCTGGGACTCGGGGCACAGTGAACTACAGGGCCTTGGTCGGGGTACCACCACAGCAGGGAGCAGGCCTAACTGCGGCCCATCCTGATACACTGGGTGCATGGGTGTGTATAAAGCTGGAGGAGCTTATGCTTTCATATCCACCCCCCCCCCCCGCTTTTTTTAAGTAATCTCTATACCCAGCATGGGGTTAGAACTCACCACCCTGAGATCAAGAGTCCCATGCTCCACCGAGCCAGCCAGGCGCCCCTTGTTTCTCTGTTTAATTTTCTATGTTGTTAGCTCATTTAATGTGACTTTATTCATGTCTTACTGGAATCACTTTTTAAAATAAATATAGGCTCCCCTCCTCCCCCCATGGGTCCCTTTCTCCTGATTTCCTTCAGTCACAACCAGGGCCCTGAGTCATCCCAGGGTGATCTGCACAGGCCGCTATGTCTTCACTGCAACCAGAGAGCTTGCGAGGGGCCCACCCACCTGCATGCACTGGAAGAGCAGCGTCATGATGTTGCTACGGGCCACCAGCTGTTCCACATGGCCGCCCAGGCCCTCAGCCAGGCCGCTGAGCAGGTCCAGTGCCACGATCATGAAGTCCTTGTCAGGGGCCTCATACTGCTCAGGGTGCTGGGTGTACATCTGGGCACAGATGGGGCAGGCAAGCAGGTTAAGGCGAGGGGGCCCAGGTTACGGGCAGCTACAGAGGAGTGGGGCAGCAGGGGTGGGTATTGGTGGTGGGATGCTCACCATGGCCTGGGCCAGAGTCTTCTGCACCAGAGTGACACAGCGCTGGTAGACCGGCTCACAGTAGGGCAGGAAGCCGCTCTGCAGGGCAGTGGCCACCGATGACAGGCACTGGTTGGGAGGAGGGCAGGAGAGGTGAACTCAGGAAGGACGGGGCAGGGCTCTGGGAAAGGGCCTGGAGCCCACCCACCTCCAGCAGAGGGAAAAGGTCCTTGTCTTCATCCTTGAGCTCGTTCCACTTCTGGATCAGCGGAGGCATCAGCTTCTGGATATATTCCTGGAGAGGGAGCAAGAAGTTGGGGCTCCCTGGGTAGGGAGTGGCAGCTTGGCACCAGCAGGGCTCCCCATGACACAGAGGCGCCTACTGCCTGAGTGATGAGGTCTGAGCATCTCGGTGGCTCATGGGGCCCTACAAGGCCTTGCCATCCAGCCGGACCTCCAGGCCCTTCTGGTCCATTCCCTTCTCACCAGTGCCTAGCCCCGCCCCACCCTGCTCCACCCCCTGAGCCTGGGGGTCACACTCCTGGTTCCCGCAGGCCCCTGAGCTTCCCCAGCACAGCACTTACCACGCTGTTTCATAACTGTTTGTCTCCCCCGCTAGACTGGGAGCAGGGCGAGGGCGGGGGCCAGGTCTGTCTGTCTGCCTGTTGAGGTCACGGCCATGTCCCTGGCGTGCGACACGGCGTCGCCGCCAGGTCACTGGATGCAGAGGGGCAGGGGGATCAAGAGAGGGAGATGCTGTGGGGTCTCACCGGCTGGTTGAGGTGGTGGCCCACAGAGTCAGCCAGGGTGCCGATGGCATCGTAGAGGATGAGCAGGTTCTTGTGCTGGTACTTGCCAAAGGCAAAGACAAGGGTGTCCAGGATATAGCTGAGGTAGGGCACTAGCTCTGTGCAGGCCTCCTCCTCCAGGGTGGCGAAGGCACTGGAGTGGGGAAGGGGTTTAGTGGGTGGTCACAAGTGGGGCTGGGCCCTGGGGCGGGGGGTTGAGGGGTGCAGGGAGGACATGCACTTGGGATCAGCCAGTACGAATACGTCAGAAATCAGCAGGATGTCAAGGGTCATGAGTGTCATCACTTCCCAGAAGGCAGCCAGTGGGGGCAGGGGTGGAGGCTGTGGGGGCAGGGGTCGAGAGTCACCTGCAGGCTGCTTCCTGCACCCTCTTGTTGCCATCCAGGATGCGCTTGAGCAGCTCTGTCATCAGAGGCTTGAGGTGCATGTCAGGTGGTTGGCTAACCACCCAGTGGGCATAGCGGCTCAGTGTCCAGCAGGCAATGGAGCGGACCAGGGCCTTCTTGTCCGACAGGCACTGGATGAGGTGCGGGATCAGCTCGGGCAGATAGGGCACCATGCCCTGCATGCAGCCTGCAAGGACCAGGACAAGGGCAAGCCTGAGCCCGGCTGGGCCTGGCCACACCCACCCTCCTGGAGAGAGATCACCCACCTAACATGCGGGACACTGAGGCCGGGAGGCAAAATCACAAAAGCTCAGTACAGAAAAGGTGAAAGGCTGGGCCGGGACAGGAAGCAGCATCAGAACAAGCCTTTCCCCTCCATCGGGTCCACCCCATCCTGGTCACTCATTAATTCACAAACGGCCAGGCAACACAAGTGACCAAAATGGATGGAAAGTACTTTTTTCTTTTTAAAATTTTCTCTATTTTTATTTTTTAAGTAGGCTGCACGTTCAGTGTGGGGCTTAAACTCACGACCCCGAGGTTAAGGCCTGAGCTAAGATCAAGAGTCAGACACTCAACCAACTGAGCTACCTGGGCGCCCCTCTTTTCTTTTTAAACTTAAGCTCGGGGATCCCTGGGTGGCGCAGTGGTTTAGCGCCTGCCTTTGGCCCAGGGCGCGATCCTGGAGACCCGGGATCGAATCCCACATCGGGCTCCCGGTGCATGGAGCCTGCTTCTCCCTCTGCCTGTGTCTCTGCCTCTCTCTCTCTCTCTGTGACTATCATAAATAAATAAAAAAATTAAAAAAAAAAAAAAAAAAGAGAACGCAGATAATAGCACGCCACCTAATAATCCAAAACCCAAGATCTATTTTTACCAGTTGTGGGTCAATTCCTCCAAATCTTTTCCCATTATAATGTTTCCCCAGAACACCTAATGAAGCTTATGAACATATACACACATATTACCGTAACACACACTGCACTTATTATATAAGGAAGTCTTTCCTTGGATAAATTTTAAAAGCTCTCCAGGGCGAAGGTTCCTGCTACCATGTCTGAACTTTTTATGACAGGCCTGGATGCTGAGGTGGTCACGAGTGACACATGTAACACACATACAAAGCCCTCAGGTAATTCAAGCTGTACATCCCATCAGGACGAAGGGAGCTCGAAAGCCGTGCCCAGGACAGAGCATCATGTGAAGTTTGTGTACACACCTCACTGCACATCACTGATCTCACAGGCCAGCCCTGTAGCTGGGAGCCAGCCCAGCTGCACCCCAGGGTGACAGCGCAAGTGGTGTCAATCTCTCTGCCCCACCCCTACTCATTTCCCCATCTACACACCCCACCTCATCGGGCTGTGCTGAGCCTGCGGGACCAGGCTGCCCCTATCATTGTTGTAGTCATCACTGCACTGACCACCTCACAGAATTGCGATCTCTGAGAATTAAAGGGAGGGCTCACATTTTGGGGTCTGGAGGTTCCATTCAGGCCCAGAGGCTGAGCAGACCTCTGAGAGAGAGCCTGCAGATGACATCACCCATGCCGTACAGCTACACAACACAGCCCTGCCTGGGCCAGTTCCATACAGTCTCACACCAGCACGGGATTCGAGGTCGGGCCTTACCAGGGCAGTAGGGCCACTCACCCTCAGCGATGGCGCCCAGCACAAGGATGCCTGACTCTTTGACCACCCACTCAGGGTGGAAGAGGAGGCCCTTGAGCAGGGGGAGTAGGTGAGGCAGCAATTCCTCCCGGAAGACGTTGGCCAAGACGTCCAGCGCAGCTGCCGAGCACTTCCCTGGGACGGGAGGGGAAATGTGGGGGCAGGCTCAGGGAGGCCCTTAGGACAGGCTGCCAAGCTCCTGAGGGGCTTTACCAAGACTCTACCCCCAGGATCAGAGATCATGATTCGAATCTTCACGATCTGCTCTGAGTAAGCTGTCTCATCACCTCCCGAGAGGCAGCCCCTAGGCTTGCTGCCCCCACCTCCCAGCCCCCACAGGCCGGGCCACGCACTCAGGTTCCAGTCGGACAGAGCATCGTCATCATCATCATCCTCTGCGTCCTCCGAGCCATCAGGCCGCTCAGCCTCATGGGGCAGCGTCACTGTGCGTGATTTATGGAATCGTGGCTTGATGTCTTGCTCACTGTCCGGGACTGCCTCGTCTTCCTCCACGTCCCCCTGTGGGGCCGAGCAGATCACTAAACACCACCGGGGCCCCCCAGCCTCAAGGCCCCAGCCCTCATCTGTCCGTTTGTGCCCAGCAGTGGGCCCTGACTGACCTTGAGCAGAATGATGTCAATTTCTGAGTATTTCATCCCATTTACCAGGATGGGGATCAACCTGCGGAGAGAGAGGTTGTTCATCGGATGCAGGGGCCCCCAGTGGGCTCACAGCCTGGGTAATACAGAAGCATCAAGGAGCCAAGGGGCAGCGTATGGACCTGAGGGGTATTATCCCAACTTAGTCGTAGCCACTGTGACCAGGACAAAGGGGACAGTTCTCTGGCTCCACCAGAGGGCTCCTGAACCAGACCTGGCCACTCAGTGGATTCCAGGCCTCTGTTTGAACAATGGCCGATCCCCAGCATACTGTAAGTTAAGGAGGACATGTGGCCCTTTTCTGGGATGAGCCGGGTCAGAGGAACAAATAGGCAAGGCAGCCAGTCCCCCAACCTCCCCCCAGCTGCAGTCAATGCACCTCGGGATTGGGAACTTTGATTCATGATTCAGGGATAGGCAAGTGACCCAAGCTGGCCAAGGAGGGTCAGTCAGCCCTAGCCCTAGCCCTTTTG